TTTCATCAGCCCCGCCTAGACAGATTGGATACTGCTCAGTGGCGATTCTACCTTCCTTCACACCCTCTGGATCTAGGTTCCCTCTTGAAAGCTTGTAAGCCAGTCACTTCTTGCCTTTGTAGCCCCCCATTTTGGGTATCCGATGTCCAAGATGCCCATCCCTGTCTACTCTGTGTATGGAGAGGGTGGGAATGATCCTCATTGTAAAGATTTGTTCCCTCTTTTGAGCTACTGCATCCATAGGTGAAGGTCAAGTTCATCAAATTGTATCAGATTACGCTTTTTTCCCTCTTCTTTCTTCTTCTTGTTGAGCTCTGATCATCTAGTCATTGAAACCAGGTCAAGTGGGTATTATCTGCAAGTGTGGGTGTTCTTATGTATATGCCCTCTCTTCTTATCAGCTGGACATTTCACTCTCCACTGTAGTCCTCTGTGGCTATGTCACTGACTCTGTGCCCAAGAGTCCCCAGGTCTTGCCACACTGCTGGCCAACCAGCTCTCCACCCGGGTTCGCTGAAGTCTATTGAACGTTGTAGGGCTTAGCTTGTAGCTTCATTGCTATTTTTCCCTCACTTCCCCTTATTGGTGACGAACGTGGTCACCAATCAGAGTGTGTATTCCCACTGAGTCTTAGTCTTGGAAGGGGTTTTGCACTGAGCTCTAGGCTCCCTCCTGAAAGCTTATAAGCCAGTCACTTCTTGCCTTTGTAACTCCCCCCCACCACACACACACACTTTGGGTAGCCAATGTCCAAGTTGCCCATCTCTGTCTACTGTGTGTATGGAGGGGGTGGGAGTGATCCTTGCTGTAGAGATTTGTTCCCTCTTTTGAGCTACTGCATCCATAAGTATAGGTCACGTTCATCAAACTAGTTCAGATTACTCTTTTTTTCCTCTTCTTTCTTCTTCTAGTTGAGTTCTAATCATCCAGTCATTGAAACCAGGTCAAGTGGGTATTATCTGCAAGTGTGGGTGTTCTTGTGCATATGCCCTCTCTTATCAGCTGGACATTTCACTCTCCACTCTAGTCCTCTGTGGCTATGTCACTGACTCTGTGCCCAAGAGTCCCCAGGTCTTGCCACACTGCTGGCCAACCAGCTCTCCACCTGAGTTCATAGGAGTCTGTTGAACGTTGTAGGGCTTAGCTCGCAGCTTCATTGCTGTTTTTCCCTCACTTCCCCTATTGGTGACGAACGTGGTCATCAATCAGAGCATGTATTCCCATTGAGTCTTAGTCTTGGAAGGAGGTTTGTCCTGAGGGGACCCGATCACTTGCCTTGATGTGTCCTGGGTGAGCAACTTGCTTGTTCTTTTAGTAATCAGACAGACTGCCTATATTGTATTTTTCCTGTAGGTCTTTCTTTCAAGAAGTATCTTCTGTTCTTCTAGTTGCTCCAGGCTGGTTTGCTTATCCTTTCAAGTGGAAATTTCCTACCTCAGGAGATTCTGGATGCTTTTCAGAATTCCACCTATGGTCTTGTGTAATGCATAGGCTCTGCAGCAAGCCTCCTTCACTGGGCACGTTTGTCCCCCATTTTAGGTATCCCAATCAGTTATAAGCATAAGATGGACTTACAAGCTTTCTATGGTGATATTTCTGGCTATTCCGTTCTCTCAGATCTTAACTTTAAAAAAAAAAACTTTTTATTGTGAATTAAGTGAAAGTTTACAAAGCAGATCATCAGTTTTACATTCAACAGACTCATACTTTGCTTCATTCCAATTGCAATCCCCTCCCTCTATTCAGTTTAACTCTTAAATTTCTTCCTGTGCCTTCTGCCACCTTCCTTTTTCCCCTACCACCCTCTCTTTTGTTTTTACATTGCCTTCCTCATCGCCCATGTTAACATGTGTCTACTCCCTAGTCCATAAATCATTGTCCCTTTTCTCTCACCCCGGGTAATGTATAGAATATTTCTTTAACAAGAAAACCTTAACTTTTTACGTTAACCTTAGCTTTTTGGAGACTCAGCAGAGTTTCCCCTAAGTGTGATTGCCCTTTGTTATTTTTGTTAAGTGCCGTCGTGTCAGTTCCGAATCATAGCCATGGTCTACAGGGTTTCTGAGAACTGGCTGGTGTATTTTAACCAGCAGTCTTGCAGTTAGCAGTCCAGTGCTTATCCTACAACCTCATACCAGGACTCCAGATTGCCCTTTAGCTTCTGGGTATTGACAGCTGCAGTCAATTCCCATGTGACACATAAAGGACTGGATGCTACACTAGGAATGTGCGATGACCATACCCAGGCTATGTTAGCACAGCGTAGACATGTTGGTATAGGAATCACAGCTAGACATAATGTACGATCACATAAACCAGTGATTTTTCAACCAGACTGATTAATATATGGAGTCTTGGTGTGGTGCTGTAGGATAAGCACTGGACCACAAGGCCAGATTGAACTGCAAGGTTGGTAGTTCAAGCTCATCAGCTGCTCCTTGGTAACCCTATATAGGCTCACTGAGTTGGAACTGACTCTACTGCACTTTGCAACTATATATATATATATACACATACATATAGGAGTCCTGGTGTGGCACTGTGGATTAATGTACTGGATTTTAAACTCTGTTTGAACTGCAAGGTCCATGGTCCAAGCTCACTAGTCACTCCTTGGAAACCCTATACAGGGTCGCTATGGGTCGGAACCAACTCAACAACACTTAACCATATATAAATATATACACACACACATATCTCACATGAGACATCTTGTGAACTTGTAGTATATTTGTTGTTGCATGTTGTTAAGTTGGTTCCAACTCAGTGGCCTTGTATAGGGTTTCTGGTGTTGTCAATCTTCATGGGAACAGAAAGCCTCATCTTTTTCCCATGAGCAGCTGGTGGGTTCGAACAGCTGACCCTGTGGTTAGCATTCCAATGCTTATTCCACAGCACACCGTGCTCCCTTATAGCATACTACAATAACAGATAATATACACAATGGCATGCTAGACACTAAAGTGCTTTTCATATCTTCTCTCTTGTGTTGGTTACAACTCAGAGGCAAGTACTATAATGATCCCATTTTAATGGAGGGATAATCATTTCATTTAGAGGAGGAACCTGAGGCTCAGAAAGAATAACTTGCTCAAGGTCTCACAGCTTATAAATAACAGAGCTAGAATTTAAACCCAGGCAATCTAATCCCGGAGCCAACCCTCTCTGCTAAACCACTTCTTTAATAGGTGATACATACACCAAGTGTATGTAGTTATGAAAATGTACATTAGGTAGCACATTTACATTGTTGTTCCAGTCTCATTATTCTGGAAGGCAGGGAGAAGACAAATCTTTATAGTGCAGAGGCCAGGCCAGAGGACTAGAATTAATAGTCAGACATGGGCAAGTTGCGCATGTTAGAATGCTTTGTGGCGGCCAGCCAGTAAATCTGTAACCTGATTTCTTCTGTTTTCTGTTCTCTCACTTTATTTTTCCTTTTGACACATATCTTTACTACTGAGTACCTGTTATGAGTCAGGCCTTGTGTGGAGCCTCGGGTGGATGCACACAGAGATGATAAGACTTTCTCCTTGATTTAAGGGGCTTATGAATTATACAAACAGGCATGAAAACAGGCACTATGTCCTGGAGTGACTGCTGTACTGAAAGTGTGGAGTAGAAGCAAAAGGAGTGAAAAAAGAAAGGAGTGATAAGTTAGGAACCTTGGTGGCACATTGGTTAAGTACTGGATTGCTAAGTGAAAAGATCAGCAGTTCAAACCCACCATTGGTTCTATGGGAGAAGAGACCTGGTATTCTGAGGCAATGCTGAGTCCTATAGGGCCGCTCAGAGTCAGAATTTACTCGGTGTCACACAACAATGAGTCTGCTTGGAAAAAGGAAGAAAGCCTCTACTGCAGAGGTGGAACTGAGATTGTGAATGGTAGAAGTTTACTGGGCAGATAAAGCTGGGACACAGCAGGCTAGAAGTCACAGCATTTTCCTCTGTGAAGAGGCTGTTTGGGAGGTGGCTAGGACAGACCCGTCAAGTGCAGTTTTAAGGACCAAGCCACCCACTTGAGGGCGCATTGCCCACTTGTCCATTAGCGGGAGGATGTGGAGGACGGTGTCCCCAAGGAGGATTAAAGTTGGTCCTTCAGGCCCTGGAGACAGTTATCATTGCTGTTAGGCCCTTACCCAAAATGTGTTTTTGCTTTCATGAGATTATAAATAAATTTCTCTTTCCATCATAAACTTTGGCCTTGGCCTAGGAACTGAAAATGCAAATCAGCTTATACATTTTAAAAATTTCAAATCTCACTCCCAAGTTTAGCAAAGTTCCAAGTATGTGAAAAACACATTATGTTGCTTTGAAGATTTACTGCTTAAGATTCCCTTCTTTAGATTCTTAACATAGTTTCTTGAGTCCTTATGGCACTGAAGTGACTCTCCTGTAAACTCCTAGGATTTACTATCTTGTTTTGCCCCAAACAGTTTTTGGTGAACGTTTTAACTATGTTGTTGCCATCAAGTCAATTCCAACTCATAGTGAGTCTGTGTCCAACAGAACAAAGCATTACCCAACCCTGCACTGTCCTCCCAATTGTTGGTATGCGCAGAGTTGCAAAGTCAACATAGGAAGCATAAAGATTTCCCTACTAATCTGCTTGTGCGTTACATAGTTTTTAGTAAGCTTTTAAGTTAAAGAATTTGCATGAAAAAGTGGAGAGAGTTGGAGGGAGGTTTGAGAAGAAGCAGGCAACGCACCAGCTAGGACCAGCTAGGGGCTGTGATGATGATGTGTGGCGGTATGAGGGCAGTGAGGTCAGTGGAGATTTTCAGGCAAGAGAGGACATGAGGAGGAGTGGATGGAAGCAGCTCAGCTGAGGGTGGCGGCAGTCCTGGGTAAAGGTCATTTTTCTAGCATGGGCAGCGAGGTGGATGGTGGAGCCCTTTACTGACTGAAGAAACTTTAAAAAAGTGGTTGGGGAAGGGGAGTTCTCATTGTATTCTGGGTGTGTGGTGAAGTGTTTGCTGGAGGTCAGTTGGAGGACACTGCTGAGCTTCAGGAATAGCAGACTGGATTGGACGTTGTTGTTGTTGTTGTTGTTAAGTACTGTGGAGTCGGTTCTGACTCATAGTGAACCTGCACAGGGTTTCAGAGGCTGTAAATCTTTATGGGAGCAGAAAGCCTCATCTTTCTCCTGGGGAACAGCTGGTAGTTTCGAACTGCCGACCTTGAGGTTAGCAGCCAGATTCTTAACCACTATGCTGCCAGGGAGGGTAAAATATGCCTGTGCTTTCTCATGCAGGTTTGGTCTCAGCATGAGCCTAAGGAGGCTTTTTCAGTCCTCGTATCTCCAGGAGGCTTGGAGGGCAGCCTTCTGGAAGCACCGATGGCCACACTCTGGAGGGGGCACGTACAGAGCAGTGATTTTTGACATGGGTGGCGTTCTCATTCCTTCTCCAGGGAAAGTGGCTACAGGTGAGCTCTTTGTTCTGCTTTCTTTTCTGAGCCAGGTGGGGTGGGGAGGCAGGCAGAGGGAGCTCCTGGGTGGTGTAACTAGTTAGCATGTTCAGCTGCTAAAGAAAAGCTTGGCAGTTTGAGTCCACCCAGAGGCACCACAGAAGAAAGGCCTGGCGGTTTATTTCTGGGGGGGAAAACTAAAAAAAAAAAAAAAATCAGCTGTTGAAAATCCCTCTGGAGTGCAGTTCTACTCTGACACACATGGGGTCACCATGAGTTTGATTCAACTCCATGGGCACTGGGGTCTCGTGGAAGGGGAGTAGAGGGGAACGTCTGGATAGAAGCATATCCCAGTGGGTAATTTGTTGACTCTTGAATATAATTCCAAGCACCATTTAGGGCGGCATGACTCAGTTTCCTCATCATTAAATTAGAGTTCAATGAGATAAACTATGGAAGCACTTGGTTAGCACAGTGAGTACGCAGCTCATCCGATTCTTGATAATGATTACCTACCACTGTTCTTACTCCATGGCACATAACTACTACCACCAGTTATTGTTGCTGGGATTAAAGCTTAACTAGCACAAAAGCAAAAGCAGAAGAAATCCAAAGACTCCGAGAGGAAAGCAGCGTACAGGACAGGCTGTCTACAGGAACCACGGTCTCATTTCGCCTGAGACCAGCAGAACTGCATGTTGCTGAACTAGCACTGTGAACTGTTCCAATCACAGCCACTGTTGATGGACCCTGATGGAATGGGAAAAAAGTCAGGAACAGAACCCTAAACTCCTAAAAAAAGCAAAACTAGACCAACTGGACTACTGGAGACTAGAGGACTCCCTAAGATACTCTTTAAACCTTGAACTGGAACTAATTCCTGACGTCATCTCGTAGTTAAATAACTGGTTCTTAGAACAGTGAGTTGCACTTATAGGTGTTGGGCTCCTTTAAACAATCACCTGTAGAGACCAAAACAGTCAACAGTGACTGTAAAATATAGATGAGAATGTAACGAGGATAGGGAAACTAGATTCATGTAAATACAACAACCAGAATGGCAGTAATGAGAATGTTCACACATTATAAAGAATGTAACCAATGTCACTGAACAACTTGTATAGAAATGGTTGAATGGAAACCTAGACTGCTGTGTAAACCTTTACCCAGAACACCCTAAGATGTTATTTTAAAAATGAAAAGTTTAGCCTGAAAGCAGCTTAGAACCGCCACCTTTTCCTGGGACCTGTGCTCCTTTTGAAATCTTGAATGCTGATCAGGTCTTTCTTTTTGTATCTCACTTCCTCTGACCTATAAGGCCCAACCTTTTATCTCTTGAATTCTGTTCACTTTAGTATCCCTTTCTTTGTTTTACTTGTTTCTTCTACTTAGTTTGGACTTTATATTCAACTTTCTTGAATTTGATTAGTTTTGGCTACAAGTACTGTTGAACCTTGAATGTTATACTTGAATTTTTGGCTGTGCAAAGAAGAAGTTGTTGATAAGTGCCGTCCCATAGTGACCCTATATAGGGTTTCCAAGGAGCAGCTGGTGAGCTTGAACCACTGACCTTATGGTTCAAAGGACTTTGCAGTCAAGCGCATTAGCTCACAGGGCCACACCAGGGCTTATGCAAAGGAGTAGGAGTCTCTAACTCTCATGCTGTTCAAGAGTCAATTGTATTAAAAAACCTAACCTTCAGAGTAACTTAAACAGGATAGAAGTTCATTTATCTTCCACATTGAAGCCCAGGTGTGAGGTCTGGGGTTCATATGGTACTGTGGATTCAGGCTCTCTCTGTCTTGTGGCTTTGCTGAAAGTTCTCTTCATTTTCAACTATACTTCATGGGCTGGCATGGCTACTTGGCCTCTTGCATCACATTCTCATCACCACCAGAGCCAAACAGCTGTTCCTGTGCTTTTGACTTACTGATAGTGGCTGGTTGGACTGCTTCTCACACTCACACCTGAGTCAACCCAAGTACAGGTTTTCTCTACACCTGCCCCTGGCTGAGTAATATTTCATTGTACGAAGGGTCTTCAAAAAGTTTGGGGGAAAATGGAATCAGAAGACAGTGGATTTTCCCACAAACTTTTAGAGCCCCCTTGTATGTACATACGACCACATTTTGTCTATCCATTTATCTGCTGATGGATGTGGGTGGTTTCTACCCTTGACTATTAGGAGCTACTCAGACTTTTGATGACAAGTTAAATGGGACACTACTCATCCCAGCACCTGGAATCTTTTAATCATTCCATAAACCTTACAGCCATTATTAGTATTAACTTCTTTACTTCTGTGACCTCTTCCCCAGGCAGAATCTCCTGGGGAGCATGTTCCCACATCTAGTCTAACTTTTGCTAAGACACATTTTCGTTTGCAGTGGGATGTGTGCATGTTTCCTCTGTTGGGTTTAGATCCCAGACTCGTGGGTTTGTTCACTTCACCTTTCTAGAACTCTGTCCAGAGGTGAATGGTCTTTCACGAAATGCTTCAGGGATGGACCAAGACACAAATAAGTGATTCTTACTTTTGGTGTTTTTTTTTTTTTCTGTTTTATAATTATAATTTCTAATGGTATGTGTTTCAAATGAACCAAATTAAAGATTATTTGATAAGGAAGTCTAGAGTGAATATCACCTCAAATACCACTCAATAGTTTTTTAACATTTAAGCCAGGAGTCGGCATCTACTCCACTCTGCTGTTGTAACACAAAAGCAGCCATGTTGTTGGGTACTAGCGAGTCGATTTGGACTCATAGTGACTCTCAAGACAGAGTCCAAACAACTCCATAGCATTTTATAAGCTGAACTCTTTACAGGAGCAGATAGATCACCAGGTTTTTTGTCCCGAGGAGTTGTTGATGGGTCCAAACTGCTGACTTCTGGTTAGCAGGTAAGTGCTTTAACCACCACACTACCAACCCTCCTTCAGATCAGCCCTATGTGCTGCATAAACAAATGAGCATGGCTGCGTGTCAATAAAAACAGGAGTCTAGAGTGGGCCCTGAGGCCATATTTAGGGATCCTTGGCCTACTGTATACTTAAGGACATATGTGTGACGTTCTGTTACTTGGAGGTACTACAGTGGAGGTAACAAGCCCTGCTGCTGCAGTGAGTTTAGCATTAGGCTGCTAACTGAATGGTCACGGTTCGAATCCATTAGCCACTCCACAGGAGAAAGAGGAGAAAGTCTGCTCCCACAAAGACTAACCGTCCCGGAAGACTTACAGCAGCTCTGCTCTGTCCTATGGCCTCACTATGACTTGGAATCATCTCAACAGCACTGGGTTTGGGGTAGTAACAGACATGGAGTCCTGTTTGCACAGTGGTTGAAGTGCTCAGTTGCATACTGAAAGGATGGCTGTTTGTCCCCACCAGTTGCTTCATGGTCGAAAGATGTGGCAGTCAGCTTCCATAAGGATGACAGCCTTGGTGACCGTCCGGGGCAGTTCTGCTCTGTCCTAGGTCACTGGGGGTCAGAATTGATTGGACAACAATGGGTTTGGTTTGCAGGTTTCACCTTTACGTTTTTAGGGTTTTTAAAAATTTTTTTAATTATAAGAAGTTCTGAACACCCAGCCTTGTACATTATTTTTTTTTTAGAAATAAACCTGTGGAGCAAATTCCTAGAAGTGAAATTTTTTGGTCAAATGTATGTACATTTAAAATTTTAGCAGAAATTGCCAAATTACTCTCCTAAAGCTTCTGCCTAGCTACACTCCCATCAATATCATGGGAGAGTGCCAGTCCACTTACACGCTTGCCAACTCTGAGCCCAGAAAAAATGCTCTAGTTTAGATTCATTCTAAAATTAAAGATGCACTAGTATTTAGAGTTTAAAAGACTTGTTAGTCTCAAAGTATATATACCAAATGATTAGCACTGATTCTTTCTGAAGACTGAGATTGCTTGTCATTTCACTGCTTTTTAAACTTTCAGTAGTATAGGATAAACTACAAGGTTGGCAGTTCAAACCCTCCAGTTGCTCCATGGAAGACGAATGAAGCTTTCTGCTCCAGTAAATATTTATAGCCTTAGAAACCCTACATAAGGTCGTTATGAGTTTGAACTGACTTGTGGCCACAAGGTTGATGGTTCAAACACACCAGCCACTCCTCAGAACCAGGGTTGCTATGAGTTGAAACAGACTCAATGGCACTTCACAACAACAATAACATATTTGGACAACAACAATAACATATTTGGAGTCCTGGGCTCTACAAGATAATGCACCAGACGGCAAGGTCAATTTGAACTACAAGGTCAGCAGTTCAAACTCACCAGCGGCTCCTCAGAAACCCTATACAGGGTCCCGATGAGTTGGAACTGACTCAACAACACTAACAATAACAACAACAACCTAATGTCCCAAAGGAACGCTGATGGAGCAGTGTTGGCAGGGCAGTACCTGAAAGGTTAATCATTCCAACCCACCAGCTGCTCCTCGGAAGAAAGACGAGGCTGTCTGCTTCCATAAAGGCGTACCGTCTTGGAAACCCTGTGGGACAGTTCTCCTCTGGCCTGTAGGGTCACTCGGAGTCAGAATCCACTCAACAGCAGTGGGTTTTTTAAAACTAGTGTATGAAGGGCTTCCTGGGTGGCACAAGTAGCATGCTGGGCTGCTAACTGAAAGTCTGGCACATTGAGTCCACCCAGTAGTGCTTTGGAAGAAAAGCCAGGGCATCTATTTTAGACAAGTCAGCCACTGAAAACCCTAGGGAGGAAGCACAGTTCCACTCTGACTCACATGGGGTCATCATGAGTCCAAGTCATCTCAGTGGAGTTTTTTATATGGTCCAATAGTCTTTCAAAGGATGGGTTATTGTTAAGTGCTGTTGAGTACGTTCTGACTCACAGCAACCCTGTACAGGGTTTCTGAGGAGCATCTGGTGAGTTTGAACTGCTTACTTTGTGGTTTGCAGTTCATTCCTGATTTTTCAGTGCCACACCAGAAGTCCAAAGGATAGGTATTACTTTCATAATCAGAAAAAAAAAAAAAGGTATTTTCATTTCAAGGCAAAAGATATGTGTATAGTAGTTGATGTCTTGGATATATAACGATGACAAAATGACAATCATTGAAAGAAAAACAAGTGTTTCCAGTTAATACCCAAATGCTGGTTTGTCCACTGCCTTACTTCTTCACAGATACAAATGAGCTTCTTTAGTTCAGAGACAGCATTCATTTTTTACATAAGCTTGAGTATTATGTTCTTTTAAGAACTATCTTGTTGTTGTTGTTAAGTGCTGTTGAGTTGGTTCCAATTCAGTGACCGTGTATAGGGTTTCTGAGTGACTGGTGAGCTTGAACTGCCTACCTTGAGGTTCAAACCGACAGCCCATGCCAGGACTCCAAACGCTAGCTACGTGAGATGAAATTGACAATGACAACTTGGAAGACTAGATAGGAACTTTAGGGGGCTTTGAGTTTTTGTTAATAACAGAGAACAACTAAGAAAAGGAGGGTGGGAATGGTTGCACAGTTCAAAGACTGTAATTGGTATCTCTGAACTGTTACAGAGACAGACCTTCCCTGACAGCCGCCTGGATCTGAACTTGTAGCCTCCTAACTGAGAGAAGAATTGATGCATTTGAGTTGTGGTGTTGGAGGAGAATATTGAAAGTGCCATGGGCTGCCAAAAGAACCAACAGATCAGTGTTGGAAGAAGTGCAGCCAGAGTGCTCCTTGGAGGCCTGGATGGCCAAACTTCGTCTTTCATACTTCGGCTATATTGTCAGGAGGGACCAGTCACTGGAGAAGGCTATCATGCTTGGTAAAGGGGAGGGTCAGAGAAAAAGAGGAAGACCCCCCCAATGAGATAAATTGGCACAATGCCTTCAGGAGTAGTAATGATTGTGAAGTTGGCCCAGGACCAGTCAGTGTTTGGTTCTGTTGTGCGGAGGGTCACTATGTGTCAGTACCGACTAGATGGCACCAAACACCATCACCAACAACAACTGAGAGAAAATAGGGTCTGTCTCTGCTACCTACTATGGTGTTTCCTTAAAGCAGCATCCCCATGGGAACCACGGAGGTGGAGATCCATCATGCATTGTCTCTGGTCAGCTCAAGGTGAAGAGGGCCTGAAACAAACCCGTTGTGTCCTCCCAGTCACCCACAGCCTTGTGACTATTACTATGGAGGCGAGAGTTTGCTTTTCCTGAATTTCCCCCCAATTCTCTTTGGTGCTGCCCTGGTACCCTAGTGATGCTAGAGGAACTGGTGTTGTGATTCCTCCGAGCTCCCAACCCCAGACACTGCTTGATGTATTTCACCTCCTGCTTCTTCCACTTCCTGTAGAATGGGAGGGCCAGAACCACCTCCCTTCTGGAACCATATTGAAGTCTTTCATCGCTGGCGGGGACAGTGGACCCTGGATGAAGTTTATGAAAGCAGAGATAACGCCAGAGGATTTCTTACAAGAATTTGGGAAACTGTGTTCTGAAATGGTGAGTGATAAACAGCTCTGTATTTCCATATTATTCTTTTTGCTTTGAGAAGTGATTGTGACCCTCAGCCATTAAGTTTGTTAAACTGCAAATAGAAAAGCAAAAACCATTACACATTTTAAGTGATTTCTTCCATCCCTAGCAGCTCAAGTTGATGACTGAAAACATTCTGTACAAAGCTCTTTTTGTCAGATATTGCTCACCTGAGACACCACAGCCATTGGAATGATGGTTTTCATCATATAAAGATTATTTAAAGCAACAATAATGTTGAACATTTTCCCGGTGCTATGCATTATTCTAAGTCCTTTACATGTACTACCCATGTAACCCTGACAGGAAACCTATTAAAACATGTTGTTGTTCCAACTCATTCTGACCCTATGTACAACAGAATGAAATACTGTCTGGTCCTGCGCCTTCCTCAAATAATTGCAGACCTTGAAAATATGATGCTCCAAGTGACCACATGATATATGATTCCATTTTTATGAAATGTCTACAATCTAAGAGACAGATAACTAGCTGACAGGGGATCAGGGCAGAAGTGAGGAGAGTGACAGCTAATAGTACAGGCTATTTTTTTTGGGGGGGGGGTGATGAAAATGTTCTAAAATTAGATAGTGGTCATGATTATACAACTTTGTGATTGCACTAACTATTCACTGCCATCGAGTTGGTTCTGACTCAGAGTGACCTTGTAGAGGGTTGGCGCTGTGGGTTAATGCGCTGGACTGCAAAGTCAGTTTGGAACACAAGGTTGATGGTTCACGCTCACAAGCCATTCCTTGGAAACCCTATACAAGGTTGCTATGGGTGGGAACCGACTCAACAGCACTTAACAACAACAACAAATCTTGATGGGAGCAGAAATCCTTTTATCTTTGTCCCACTGAGCAACTAATAGGTTTGAAATGCAATCCTTGGGGTTAGCAGTCCAGTGCTTATCTTACAGTGCCACACTAGGGCTCCTGTGAATATGCTAAAACTCATCAATATACACACTTTAGATGGATGAGTCAACTGGCATGTGAATTATTTATCAATAAAGTCTTGGTCTGGTGCTGTAGGATAAGCACTGAACTGTTAACTGCATGGCCGGTGATTCAAACCCACCAGCCATTCTTCAGAAACCCTAGACAGGATCACTAAGAGTTGAAACCAACTTACAGCACTTAACAACAATAAAGTTGTTATGAAATATTTACAGTAGTAGAATTGCCTTTGGAGTCCTGGTATGGTGCACCAGACTGCAAGGTCAGTGGTTCAAGCTCACCAGCTTCTCCTCAGAAACCTTACACGGAGTCGCTATGGGTTGGAACCAAGTCAACGGCACTTCACAACAACAGAATTGCCTTTGAAATGTTCAAAACATGACAGTTAAGAGTGTTTAAATACCCATGAGTTGAATTTCAAAACAAAACAAAACAAAATCAAACGAATAGAAACTGAGGCAGTGCAGTCATCAGACGCCTCTGGACCATGATCTCCACGTGTGGCAGAAGAGAACTGCGCTCCATCGAGCTTCCAGTGGCTAGTTTTTCAGAAGTAGACTGCCAGGTCTTTCTTCCAAGGTACCTCTGAGTAGACTTGAACCTCCAACCACACAGTTAGCACCTGAGCATGCTGTTTTTACCACCTAGGGACTCCACAAATTAGATTGCATCTGTTTAATATATTTAGCTTCAAAGTATTCTCTTGCGGTATTCTGGGTTTTTTTTAGTTGTCCACCCATGAGTGGAATCACAAACTCATCTAACTGGCATATTGATAGGAAAAGCTCCATTCTCTAATGTTGTCACTGACTCTTTTCACACCCAGTCTGCTGAGTTCAGAACTGGGGTGGAGTGGGACAGTTCTTTTAGGTAGTAGGATGGGACTGGAAGGCCAAGTCGTGGAAGCTCGGCAGTTGTATGTTTTTTGTGGGTGGTAAGTTTCTCTTACTCTTAATGATTGCTGGGTCTCTCCTCCCACCTCCAATTCCCAGTCACAGACCTCCGTGCCCGTGGAATCGTTTTTCTCTCTGCTGACCAGTGGACGAGTGGCCAAGCAGTTCCCAGTGATGACTGCAGCCATAGCCCAGATTCGGGCAAAAGGCCTTCAGACGGCAGTCTTGACCAATAATTTTTATCTTCCCAATGGGAAAAGCTTTTTGCCCCTGGACCGGAACCAGTTTGATGTGGTAAGCCTGGCGTGACCCCAAATAAATGCTGTATGTAGGTCCTTGCCCTTGCCTCAGGCTGCAGCATCACAGACTACTTTAGCAGGAACTGGTGGATGGGTTTTTCTTGCAAAACCCTGACTAAGTCAGGTTTAGCTATAAATTAAAAACAAAGTTTTCAGATGTCACTGTGCTCTTAGCAAGGCCAAACATTTGGGGGATTTGATGGCTGCTTAAAACCTCAGGTTTAGAGATTCCCTTCAATTCTGGATTTGAATCCTAGTCTTCAAACAACACAAACATTTCCATCAGCCCTCACATCTTAGCACTTTGGCCATTTTTCTTATTTTTTTAACTTTTTATTTGTATTTAGTGAAGGTTTACAGAGCAGATCATCAGTTTTACTTACAACAAAACATACACTTTGCCTCACAACATGGTTGCAATACCCTCTGTATCCCAATGGTTAATAGCACTTACCTTTATTCACTGTAACTATTGGAAGTGTCTCCCACTACCTTCATCTTTCCTTTGTTAACCTCCCTCTTGTTGTATATTGCCTGCCCTGTCACCCAGGTTAACATGTGTCTACCCTCTAACCCAGAGTCCTGGTGTGGCCCTGTAGGATAAGCACTGGACTCCAAGGTGGTTTGATCCACAAAGTCAGTGGTTTACACTCCCAAACTGCTCCTTGGAAACCCTGTACAGGGTTGCTCTGAGTTGGAACTGACTCAAAAGCACTTCACAACAACAATAATCCCCCAGCTCATGAATAATTTCCTTCCTCCTTCTCCCTTCTCCCCCACCCCCCTGCCCCCCGTAACAAACATAGATTGTTTCTTACATCAAGAAAGCCTTTTTTAAACTTTTTACAATATTGGTCTCATACAATGCTTATCCTTATGTGATTGACTAATTTCACTCAGCATAAAGCATAGTGGTTATGCATTGGACTGTTAACCTCAAGGCCAGCAGTATGAAACTACCAGCCAATTCAAGGGAGAAAGAGCTTTCTGCTCCCATGAAGATTCACAGCCTCAGAAACTGCATACAGGGTCAGTATGAGTCTACTCCATGGCACATAACCACTATCATCAATAGGTTCAACCATGTGTGGGATGTTCACAGACTCATCATTATTCTTCAACATTTTATAGTATTCCATTGTGGGTATGTACCAAAGATTCTTTAACCATTCTTCCATTGATGGGCATTTCGGCTGTCTCTACTATTTGAGATGTCTCTTGTAGACAACATATTGAAGGATTATGTTTTCTTATCTATTTTGCTCTCTTTGTCCCTTGACAGGTACATTTAATCCATTTACTTTCAGTGTAATTATCAATAGGTATGAATTGATTGTTGTCATTTTTCTGTGTGTTTCATTGTGGTGCTGCCGGATTTTTTATTTCACAAAATTTTTTATGCGGAGTTTATTTTGTTTAGGGTTTTCTTGTCATTTTAATTTCTGGTATGTTCATGTTTACTAAATATTTCTGATTTTCCTCTTTTTTAAAAATGTTGATGTGCGGGTTTTTTTTTTTTTTTCTTTATGGTTGGTTATCTTGTAATTTACTAATTTTTTCCCTGCTTAACCAGTCTGTTTTATCATGAATGATTTCTAGCCATTTGGAAGTTTTGTATCTACACTGTTCCCTCTTTCAACTTTGTAGTTGACTTCGTTATGCACTGATATCTCTCATTCTCTATTTTCAGTCTTATAGATTTGTTTTACTTTAAATACTTTCATATCTGGATTGAATTCTGGGTAGTGGTATCATATATGGTAATCTCAGGTTGTTGTCTGCTGTTGTTGTTTCTCAGTCCAAAGAATACCAGTTAGTATTTTTTGTAAAGTTGATCTGGGCATTACAAATTCCTTTAGTTTCTGTTTATCAGGAAAATGTCCTAATTTGCCATCATATTTGAAGGACATTTTTGCTGGGTGTATGATTCTTGGCTAACAGTCTTTTTGTTTCAGAGTTTTGTGTATGTCATTCCAGTGCCTTCTTGCCTGCATGATTTCTGCTGAGAAATCAATTTAGTCTTATTGGTTCTCCTTTGAGGGTAACGTTTCATTTCTCCCGAGCTGTTCTCAGGATTCTTTTCCTTGTCTTTGATTTTGAAAAGTTTGATTATAATATGTCTTGGTGATTTTCTTTTGGAAACTATCCTGTTTGGAGTTCTTTCAGCTTCTTGTATGCTTATCTTTTCATCTTTCATGATGTTAAGGAAGTTTTCTTCCAACAACTCTTTGACAGTTTTCTCTGTGCTTATCTTGTTCTATTCTGGAGTTCGATCACCTGTAAGTTGTTCTTGGTCATGGTGTCCCACATAACTCTTAGTCTTTCTTTAGACATTTTCCAGTCTTTTTTTCTGATTATTCTTCTAGCATACTAGTATTGAGAGATTTGTTTTCAAACTCACTAATTCAAACTTCCATTGCTTTGCATCTAGTCCTTTGCCCTTTCAATGTATTGTCCATTTCTGAGATCTTGCCTGTGGCCGTTTTCTACTGCCGTTTGGTTTTAAGTGGAAACTGTCACTTTAAATTTTGAAGAGATCTTTATGCATGCATAGTAGAACCCTTTGGGGTGGGGGTGGGGTGTCCACTTGCTCCAGCACCCCCTCTGGTCACCTGAATGGAGGTGCGCAGCCAGCAAGAGACCAATGAACAGATTAAAAAAAAAAGTGTCCATATCTTTATCTCCATGGTTCTGTCAGGTGTCCATGGCTGCTATGATCCTTCCCCTACTTGGTCTCACCCAAGATGGCAGCTCCGGGAACAGCTGAGCATCTTGGATTAGAAAGCAATGGATTTCTTGCTTCTGCTACAGATTTCCCTAGCTGTAAGCCTTCCAATCTTCTAAATATTCCTTTATATGTGGTTCAGAGTTCTGGGACCATCCCCTGAGCCTTTTTGGTCCTGTATTCTGTGTTGTTGCTAATGGAGCTCCTCACTGCACTTCCACCCGATCCACCATCTTGTTTGTTCTCCTTCTACTACTGTACACTATTTTACCAGGAGTTCAGGCCATTTCTCTTCTAAGACCAAGCCTATTGCCCTCAGAATTGATGTGATGACAGTGGGTCGGGTTGGGTTTGGGGTCCCTAGGCCAGCACTGTGCAGTAGAATTTCCCTCAGTGATGGCCACGTTCCATCTGTGCGGTCCAGTAGTGTTGGCCCTGTGTGCTCACTGAGCACTTGAACTGTGCCTAGTGTATCTGAAGAATGGTTTGCCACCCAATACTTATCGTGTGGAGGCACTGCGCTCCCTACATGATTGGTGCCTACTGTCTGTGGTACTCAGGGAATACATGAGTCACGAGGTGGTCTTCTGTGCCAGAAGCTTACTTCTGTGGAGCGTCCCCAGCTCCCTATTCACCAGGTGGCTGTGACTCACTTAAGCTTCATTCAGTCAGTCAGACAGTACATTCCCAAGGAGAGGATGCTGTGTTTAAGGTGACAAGCATGTTTTTTCCCTCTGGAGCTGCACAATAGCCACATTTCCAGTGCTCAGTGGCCACATGTGGCTGGAGTGACCATATTGGACAGGATAGATACAGGACATGCCCATTGTCACAGAAAGAGCATAAAATCCAGGAGCTCTCTCAGACCGGCCTTTGGAACACAAGCACTGGCTAGTCCCCTCAGCCTAATGCTGATTTACCCACTACCCTCCTCCTTTACATGCAAAAGCTGGACAGTGAATAAGGAAGACCGTAGAAGAATTGATGCATTTGAGTTACGGTGTTGGAGGAGAATATTGAAAGTGCCATGGGCTGCCAAAAGAACCAACAGATCTGTGTTGGAAGAAATGTAGCCAAAGCGCTCCATGGAGGCCAAGATGACCAAACTTCATCTCTCATACTTCGGATAAATTGTCAGGAGGGACCAGTTGCTGGAGAAGGATATCATGCTTGTTAAGGTGGAGGGCCAGAAAGAGGAAGACCCCCAGCGAGATGGATTGGCAAAGCGGCAGCATGAATAGGCTCAAGCATGGCAACAATAGTGAGGTTGGCCCAGGATCAGGCAGTGTTTTGTTCTGCTGTGCATAAGTTCGCTATGAGTTGGTACCGACAACACCAAGTCCTTTGAGATAGCCCATCAAATAGAATTCTCTCCCCTTGGAGGAACTTGCCCAGCTCCATGCCTGATTTGGTGTTTGGTTCCCCCACTCATCCAGAACTCAACTCTCCTCCTAGGGCTGAGGGACCTCAGCAGATCCCAGGAAGAGTTCATGGAGTCCCCGTGTCCTCTCAGGGAAGTGTGAGAGCAGTGGATTTGTGGGTCACAGAAGCCTGGGTTTGAATCTTGCCTCCAACAGTTTACTTGCTTTGTTCCCTGGACCTCAGTCTCCTCATTGTAACTCAGGAATAGCACTAGTTCTTTGTCAGAGGGTGGCTGTGAAGCCACCATGAGGTGATGGCAGGCCAAGATGTGTGCACAGTGCCTGGGACACAGTGATGTGTTCTACACAACGCCATCATCACAATGATCGTGAGATTGGTGCAGGACCGGGCAGTGTTTCGTTCTGACGTGCATAAGGTCGCTCTGAGTCAGAAATGACTCGACGGTACCTAATAACAACAATAACCCATCGACTGTGCCAATAGGAATACTGTTGTCATCTGAACAGGCTCAGGTTGGCCTCTTCAACGGGCAGCTGAAATTGGAAAGATCACCAGGGTTCTTTGAAATGGAAAACACTATTTTCAGATTCACTGGGCTCGCTGAGCATGCACTTTTTAATGGGTATTCATATACGAGGGGGCTTCAAAAAGGTCATGGGAAAAAAACCTATTATCTTTCAGTTCTAGTTTTCCACCACCTTTTGAAGCCCTCCTATTAGGTCTGTAGATCTGGAGTTTGAAATCTCATATCCATAAGCTTACGGATACAGGTTTTGTCCTCTTCAGCTCTAAAGTAAACCACATTTTGGTAGAGGTAAAGGTAGAGCCTGGGTATGGCACTGTAGGATTAGCTAACCACGGAGTTGGCAGTTCAAATCCATCAGCTACTCTTGGAAATTCTATACTGGGTCGCTATAAGTTGAAACCAACTCAGTGGCACTTAATAACTAAAGATAGCGCAAACACTGTTGTTGAGCTCCTCAGTAGTATAATGTTGTTGTTGTTAAGTGCTGTTGAGTTGGTTCCGAATCATAGTGACCCTGTATATGGTTTCTGAGGTTATACATCTTTGCGGGAGCAGAAAGCCTCCTCTTTCTCCTGGGGAGTGACCACCGACCTTGTGGTTCGAAGTCCAGTACTTATCCTACAGAGTCACCATGTTCCCCCAACAGTGTGACAGAAATCTGTTTTTTTTCTGAGCTAATGTGACTTTTTAGAAAATTCACATATTATAAGAAGTCAGACCATGCTAAACACTTCACATTCTCTTATTAAATCCTCACAGCCCTGTGAAGGGAATACAAGCAGTACTCTGGTTTTACAAGTGAGAAGACTGAGTCTCGGGTTAGTGAGCCTGGTCAAGGTCCCTTCACTGGGAAGTGTCAGCACCACGCTCACTCATTTTGATTCCTCTCTGAGCTACAACACTGATTTACTTCCCCAGGAAACTCCACCTTTGCTTCAGATTTGCATCCCTCCCCTAAGAGACCCACAGCTCCTGAGCAGTATGGCTCTCAAGCCTTTCTCCGAGTCATACCAGGTCAGGAGGCCTCTTTCCTTCAGGGAGAGCTGACCTGGTATAACTGGGAAACCTCTCACCAGATATCCTGGGTGTTCTGGCAGCCTCTGGGATATATCCCAGGGGATGGATAACTTACAGGTTGTCTGAGCATTTCATCAACAGCCCTTTTCTGGATCCATCCATGCGTTGGCGAGGCACTTGGCTTTGACTCCAGGGAGCGGTGTGGTCTCTGCATCTGGGTACTAGATCTGACTGTTCCTGTCCACACACAACAGCAGGAACCGGGGAAGGTGCCAAAGCCACTTGCACGGAGGTTTTCACTGAGTGGGTTTGGGTGGGACCCGGCGTGTACGTTTCTGGAACGCTCTTCAGGGGTTCCTGATGTATTTTAGGGGTGAGTATGCTGAGATGCAGGAGTCCTGGCGTGGTGTTGTGGGCAAATGCGCTGGACTGAAAGTCAGTTTGAACCTCAAGGTTAGCTCCTCAGAAACCCTATACAAGGTCACTATGGGTCAGAAGCAACTCGACGGTACTTAGCAACAATAACAACAACAATGCTGACATGCAGTCAGAGACACGAGGCTCTGTCCACAGATGTTCGCTGTCACAAAGCATCCGTCATGCTGACCTTGAGAGGGAGGCACCACCCCCCCACCATCCTGGGGTACATACATCCTGGATGAACTGAAACCATTTTTTATATAACTTCTTTTTGTTGTTAGGTGCCATCGAGTCAGTACCCACTCATAGTGACCCTGTACACAACAGAAGAAAACACGGCCCGGGTCTGTGCCAACCTCACAGCCATTGCTACGTTTGAACCCATTGCTGCAGCCACTGGGCCAACCATCTCATTGGGGGTCTTCCTGCTTATCTCTTACCTTCTACGTTACCAGGCTTGATGTCCTTTTCTATGGACTGGTCCCTCCTGATAATATGTTATCTAACTTATATCCATTCAGACGCTGGCCTTGTTCCTATAGTTCCGGTTTGACAGGGTAATAGAAACCACCAGCAGGCTCCTGCTGTCATGAGCAAAACGGAGCCACAAGAGAAGCCCAGGACTCTTAGCAAAGTTCACTCCACCGACACATCAGTCTCATGGGGAAAGGCCCGAATCTGCTGGAACTTGGCCAGTGCCCATGTTCACCTCTCTCTCTCATCTGTCTCAGTCAGTACAGCTTGGTACACACACTGGGTCCTGAAATGGCCCCGCTACTCTGTAGCCTACTGTGGATGTTTTTACTAGGGGAATTCCTTCTCTTCATGTAGCTCATTCTGCCCCTAGCATACAACCAAGAATGAATACAGACGTGGACATCTGCTGACCTGAGAGGTCAGGTCTGCCCAGCCCACAATGTGCAGTAGACGGCCCTGGGGTTTGTCCTTGGTTGTGCAGATCTTGGATTGTTCCACATGTGAGTCAGAGATTTGGTTCTGTTCTCCAGGCAGACCAGAGATGTGGGGTCTAGGCCTGTATGACCATATTAGACCCACCCACCAGGAACTGGTGGAAGACGAGACTTCGAGGGGTCACAGATAACCTAACACCTCAGAGCTCTCCCAACCCCTCAGGAGATCACCCCAGTTTGGAATCAGATACAGGCTTGAAACAGGGCCATTCAGATGCAAGGAGCGATGTCTTTGCCGGTGACAGTCTACAGTGTCAGCCCTCCATGGGATTTGTCTGTCCAAATTGAGAATGTTGTTGTTGTTAGGTACTGTTGAGTCTGTTTCGACCTACAGTGACCCTGTGCACAACAGAATGCGGCACTGCTGCTCCTCCTGCCCCATCCTCACAATCGTTATGCTTGAACCTGTTTCTGCTGCCACTGTTCTATTCCATCCCCTTGGGGGTCTTCCTCTTTTTCACTGACCCTCTACTTTCTCAAGCATGATGTCCTTTTCAGGGACTGGTCTCTCCTGACTATATGCCCGAAGTATGAGAGATGAAGTCTGGCTATACTTGCTTCTAAGGAGCATTCTGGCTGTACTTTTTCCAACACAGATTTGTTTGGTCTCTGGCAGTCCATGGTACTTTTAGCATTATTCTTCAACACCATAGTTCAAATTGATATCAATTCTTCTATGGTATTCCTTATTTATTGTCCAACTTTTGCATGCATATAAGACTTTTAAAAATATCAAGGCTTGGTTTAGGTACACATTAGGCCGCAAATTGACATCTTTGCTCTTGAACATTTTAAAGAGGTCTTGTAGCAGATTGTAAAATGCAATCTATTTGATTTCTCAACTTCTGCTTCCATGAGTATTGATTGTGGATTCAAGCAAAATGAAGTCTTTGACAATTTCAATCTTTTCTCCATTTGTCTTGATGTTATTCATTGGTCCAGTGATTATGAGTTTTGTTTTCTTTATATTGAGTTGAGGTGCAACCCATACTGAAGGCTGTGATCTTTGATCTTCTTCATCAGTAAGACATTTTGTAATGTGCACAATTTAGTGTTCTGGAATACCCATTCATTGCAGTATTAGACATAACTTGTCATGATCCACACAGCCAAAAGCCTTTGCATAGTCAAAGCACAGTTAAACATCTACTTATAACCAAGATCCATCTGACATCAGCAATGGTATCCCACATTCCACATCTCCATCTGAATTCAGCTTGAACCCTGGCAGCTCCCTGTCAAAGTACTGCTGCAGATGTTTCTGAATTATCTTTAGCAAAATTCAGTTGCATGTGATATTAATGATGCAGTCCAATGATTTCTGCATTCAGTTGGATCACCTCTCTTTGAAATGGGCACAAATTTGGATCTCGTCCAATCAGTTGGCCAGGTAGCTGTCTTTCAAATTTCTTGGCATAGATGAGTAAGTGCCTCCAGTGTTCCATCACTTTGTTGAAAGATTTCAATTTGTATTCCATCAATTCCCAGAGCCTTGTTCTTTTCCAGTGCCTTCAATGCAGCTTGGACATCTTCCTTCTTGATCATATTCTACCTCTTGAAATGGTTGAATATTGACCATTTCTTTTTGGTACAGTGACTCTGTGTATACCTTGTATCTTCTTTTGATGTTTCCTGTATCGTTCAATATTTTCATTGTTTTTGGACCTCTGACATATACACATTGAGGTCATTTTTATTTGATAGTGATTCTAATGCATAGGACATGTGCCCATCAACCAGAAGTATTAGCTTCCCTTCTGGTCCTTGTAGCTACAACACCCAAAGTGGCAACATGATTGGTCATTCAAGAACTCATGGAAGCTTCACTTCAGCCTCACTGCAACTACTGAGCGAGTTAGGACAGCCATCATGTGTCCGTCTCACTGTCAGTGGTGAAACTGAGACGTGGAGTGGCTCCACTGCTTGCACAAGGCCACGGTGCCTGAGCCAGAACTTTGCTTTCCAGTGTGGCCCCCTAGGTTGGAACCCCATGTTCCAAAATCACACTCTGGAGTTTCTGTTGTAAAAAACCTTTCTGTGCTTTTCAAAAAGTGTCCCAAGTGCATGAGGGAGGGCTGCCTTTGAGGGACAGTCACCTCCCGTTCCTGTCACTCCCACAGGTTGTGGAATCCTGTTTGGAAGGCATCTGTAAGCCTGACCCCACGATCTATAAACTGTGCTTGGAGAGGCTTCACGTGCAGCCCTCCGAGTGCATCTTTCTTGACGACCTCGGACCAAATCTAAAAGCAGCGGCCAGCCTTGGTATTCATACTGTGAAGGTAAATCATTACGACGGTAGTCACCTGAGAATCACCTGAGAGCTAGCTAGCAGTAGAATTTCCACGAGTGCTTTTCCATGCATCGCTGTCACTTCCTTCATGGTACTCCTGAACGCTGCCTCAGCGGACTTGTATTTCAATAGTAGTATAGTCTGTGATTTCATGGGAGGCCAGACAGATGAAACATGTGGTTAAGGAGGCAGTTTGAGAAGCAAGAAGAAGCTAGGAGGTGGAGGGAAGCCTGTCCTGGTGATGTTAGCCATGTGATGGAGAGTCTGCAGCTCCCAGCCAGAGGGTTGCCTGAGTCATGGCTGAGAAGAGGAGGTCTTGGTCTAGCTTCTGCATTGAGCTTCTCATGATTAATCTGGGAAGACCGGAGGGACTGATTGGATAAGGCAACTCACTCTTCTGTCCTCCCAGTATGAGGGAGTATTACTATGGGCTTTTACCCAGCCTGCCCAACAGAGAAAACATTTGATGTGTTTAGGAATGAAATGGGAATGGGAAACTCGTTCTTCTGCTACCTTATTAGTAAAATAGTCTTGCTCGGAGAACTGACTTCTTGGAGTTTTCCCTCTAGAAACTAGCCTCGCAGAGAACAGACAGGGGGTGAAGTCAGGGCTGCTGGGTGGTTCATGTGCAATGATCTCTTTGAAACCAGGTTAATGACCCAGAAACTGCTGTCAAGGAATTAGAAACTCTTTTGGGTTTTATGCTGAGAATGGTTCCAAACACTTGCCCTGTGAGAAAGACAATGGAAATTCCAAAAGATTCCTTGGAGAAGTACCTCAAAGGCTTACTGGGGACCCAGACCACAGGTATTTAAGTTTTTGTATTTTGGTAACTCTTTCCAAGACTAGGCTTCCAGTCTGGTTCTCACTATCAAACCACAGTGGACTAGGCTGCAAATAAAAGACAATATGCTTTCAGTTTTACTTAGGAAGAAGTAGTAAGCTGCGTTTTTATGGGTCCTTGAAAGCACTCGCTCTCTTTCTTTTTCCAGAGAGTGTGCAGTGACTGCAATAGACTGTAAGGAGGGCAGGGACCTGGTGCCCACAGGACATGCTCGGGCCTTTGAGTGGGTCTGGTTTTTGAGATGATAGCCTGGCTTGTGAAGGTGACTTAAAAGTTGCTTAGTTTTAAAATGTGACAACCTTTTTCCATCCTTTCAAAGATTCTACTCTCATTCTTCACATTCCACCCTCAGAAAATCAGGTGCCTTGTGAGCTATTGAAATTCCTGCCTCTTGATAAAGTTTTAGGAGCTCTGGTGACACAGTGGTTAAAGCACATGGATGCAGAACCAAAGGTCGGTGATTCAAATCCACCAGCCACTCTACAGGAGAAAGACATGCAGTCTTCCGTAAAGGTTATAGCCTTGAAAATCCTGTGGGCAGTTGTACTCTGTCGAGAGTCCTGGTGTGGCTCTGTAGGATAAGCACTGGACTGCTAATCACAGAGTCAGTAGTTCAAACCCACCAGCCTAGGAAACCCCATATAGGGTTGCTATGAGTCAGAACTCACGCAACGGGACTTAACAACAACCCCATAGGGTTACTCACAGTGAGTCAGAATCAACTTGATGACAGTGAGTTTGTGTTTTCGGTTTGGCCTCACCCACTTGATTCATAAGGAGCTCTGGGAGCGTAGTGGTTATGAATCGGGCTGCAAGCCTCAAGGTCAGTAGTTCAAAACTATAGCTGTTCACAGGAGAAAGATGAGGCGTTCTGCTCCTTTAAAGATTTACAGCCTCGGAAACCCTATACAGGGTCACTATGAGTTGCAACCGACTCCACGGCACACAGCCGCCACCACCACCACTTGATTCTTGAAAAAGATTGTTAGTTCCAGAGCTTCACGTCCTGCTGTTTCAGGGACAGCCTCTACTAACTGGACGTGGCAACCCCCTGCCACTTTCCTGCTTTCCCAGGTACCTCAGTCCAGTCTTGTGAAGTGGAGGGTCCCATAGGTTCTTTAGGAAGCCAGCAAGTTTGGCCGAGCAGGGTAGGGAATCCCCTTTCAGGAGAGTAGTGCAGGCTCACACAGAGGCCCCTCCATAGTGACTTTCAACTGTTGCATTAGTGCTAGGCGCAGCTGGCTGCACGTGGGCTCAGGCATGGGTAAGAGCACTTTTCTCCTCCGCTGAAAGCCTCCCATTGTTGGCAGGATGGTCACCATGGCTGTGCTATTGGACAAGCTTTTTTTCACAGAGCAGGAGATGGCAAGGAGGAAAGTCAGACCCTGGAACAAAGTGAGACAACCACTATGGAGTCTCTGCCTATGGCTCGGCCCAAGCTAGCAGCCTGTGCCTCGGGCTTGGCCTCTGTGGTACCCAGGGAGGAGGAGCTTGTCTTCCAGCATGTCCCAAATCAGGGTAGTCCATCTCATTAGAAAGAAAGGTGCCTACCCAACTCTGTCTGTCAGCTCCTGCTTGAGTTTCATTCCCAAACCCGCAGGTCCGTTGGAACTCCTCCAGTTCGATCATGGGCAGTCAAACCCAACTTACTACGTCAGGCTGGCTGACCACAGACTGGTTCTGAGGAAGAAGCCCCCAGGGAAACTGCTTCCATCAGCCCATGCGGTAGAAAGGGAATTCAGGTAAGTTCTCAGAGCTGACCGTACACTCTCAGTGACACCCTCAGCAACTGGACAAAGTTAAACCAAAAAAAAGAAAAATCAAATCCATTGCCATCAAGTGGGTTCTGACTCAGCGGCCCACAGGCCAGAGTGGAGCTGGCACAGGGAGTTTCCAAGGTGTTATCTTTCTCCCGCATATCAGCTGGTGAGTTCAACAGCTGAGCGTTTAACCATTGTGCCACCAGGGATGAGTCACCACACTGTGACTCTCACAGTGATTTCACATAAGAACATGTAACCTGATTTTGTTCGGGAGTTTGTTTTCTCTCTTCCACAGACTGCACTAGACATTTTGGAACCTCTAGATTAAAAAGTCAATAATGAGATACACTTAAGTCCTAAATCAATATATTAGTGGGCCTAGGAATCCTGGTGTGGCACTGCAGGATAAAGCACTGGACCATAAGGTCGGTTTCACCACTAGGTCAGTGGTTAAAAATCACCAGCTGCTCCTCAGAAAACCTGTTCAGGGTCGCTATGAGTCAGAAATGACTTGATGGAACGTAACAACAAACAACAAAGATGAAAAGTGCTTGGCTGTTAACTGAAAGGTTCCAGTCTACCCAGAAGTACCTCAGAAGAAAGGCCTGGTGATCAACTTCTGAGAAATCAGTCACTGAAACACTGAATGGAGCACAGTTGTACTCTGACACACACGGGTTAGCCATGAGTCAGAATGACGTAACATGAAATATACGTGTCCACCAGTTGGTAATTGTTGAAGCTAGGTGATGGGGACATGGGGTTTCTTATACAACTTGCTCGCCCTACTTTTATATATACTAAATTTTCTAAAAAGCGAAAAAAATTTTTAATTTACTTAGTTTGTTTTGCCTTGGAAGAACTGCCTGGCTATCTACTTCCGACACACCAGCCTTTGAAACCTTATGGAGCAGTTATCCTCTGGCACACACGGGGCCACCAGGGGTCGCCGTCGACTCCACACCACTGGTTACAGAAAGGAAAGCTGGGGAGCAAGGAGGGAAGGTGACTTCCCACTTGGTTCTCATCACTCACCGTCTTTCCTTTGAACTTCTTAGTTACCAGAATTGGACTTCTCTGAGTGCTACATGATGGATGAGAATTAAACCTAAGGGGTTCTTCACAGGACATACTCTGTCGCTATTTCTGAGTATTTATATATGTGCATGGTAGGTTAATGCTCTGGACTGCAAAGTTGGTTTGAACTGCACATTTGGTGGTTCAAGCTCAACAGTTGCTCCCTGGAAACTCTATACAGGGTCGCTATGAGTTGGAACTGACTCACCAGTACTTAACAACAACATAGGTAATAGACCCTAAAATTTAAAGCTTCCAATGTATGCTTGTCAGTTTTAACTACCTCCAGACATACCAAGGAATGCTGGAGTACTAGAATGATATTCACAAAACCCAGAAATGCACAGAAATTCCATTTTAGCAGAGGAATTGAATGTGCACTTCAAGATGAAACATAGACCAGCTTATTAAAATGGCAGATGTAAATTTGAACATCTATTCTGGAAAATGATAAAACATCACTTACTAGAAGCCTCAGAGGATGCATGCCTTTGAGCCCTTGGCTGACGCTGTCACTAGACTGCTAACCTTAAGACTAATGGTTCAAACCTACCAGCTGCTCTTGGAAACCTGATACAGGGTCACTATTAGTCAGAACCAACTTAAAAGGACTTAACAAAAATATATATACATTTAGAATGAAAAATTCCAATTCTGAGTTTCTGTCGTAAATAAATCATTCTAAATAGGGGGGAAAAGCTTTGTGGGTTAATATACTCACCACAGCGTTGTTTCTAATACAGTAATGTCCCTAGGTTCCTTATTTACTGTGAACATTTAAAGCTATATAGTTCTCCCTTAGCATTGTTTTAGTTGCTACCTACACATGTTGACGTGTTATACTGTCACGGTTAATCAATCTGAAAACATGTCTAATTTCTCCTTTGACTCATGGGTTATAAATAGAAGTATATTTTCAAATACTGACATTTTCTAGCTATCATATATTAATTATTTCTTGTTTCATTACATTGCTATCTGAGACCAGAATCTGTATGATAATAGTGTTTGGGAATTGACAGTCAGTCGTGGGCCAGCATGACTTATCTTGGTAAAGGTACTGTGTGAACTTGAAAAGAATGCATATTCTGACGTTGCTGAGTGTTTTAGAAATGTTAATTAGGTCAAGTTAGTTGGTAGCATTGTTCAGATTTATGTTTTTACTGAGTTTTTGTTTTGTTCTACCAGTTAATGAGAGAAGGGTATTGAAATCTCAATTATGCTTGTGGATTTGTTCATTCTCTCTTTAATTCAGATGATTTTTATTTCATGTATTTTGAAGGCATGTTATCACTTTAGAAGGTCCTGAATAGAGTAGGAGAAAAATATCTGTCTGGGAAAAAAGGCTCAGACACATTTATGAGTATTAAGCCTCTTTGATGAATTAACTTACATCATTTGGAAGCATTCCTCTTTGCCTCTGATAATATTGTTTGTCATGACGTGTGCTTTACCTGACATACTGAAGTCATACCAGCAGTGTCGGGCTTACTGATGACATGGTATGTTCGATTCCAGCCTTTCATTTTTAGTCTCTTTGTGTTTCTATATTTAGCATATTTCTCTTGTAGGCAGCATACAGCTAGGTCTTGCTTTTCTATCCAGTTTTACAGTGTCTTTGATTTCTTTACTATAACTTAAAAAACATTGTATTGTGAATTGGGTGAAGGTTTACACAGCAAATGTGTTTTGTGTTCAACAAATCATACACATTTTGTTTCCTGGCAATGATTGCGGTCCCCACAGTGTAACATCGCTCATCCTGCTTCCTCCTTGTTTGCATTCTCCTTTCCTAACCCTTCTGAACTGTGTTCTTAGGTAAATGCTGCCTTTTTGAACTAAAATGGTTGATTGTTCTAAGGAGTGCTTACCTTCTTAGTATTATTGTTTATTGTTTGACTGAAAAGTGAGCAGAAGGTGAGTTCATTTCCAGACCTGAACGGTGACTAAAGGCTACAGTCTCAGAAGGTTCCATCAGTCTCTTATCTGACCAGTAAGCTGGGACTTTTTTTATGATTTGAGTTTGGTTTCACATTTTTTTCTTTCTCTATCCAGGACCTTCTTATGCGATCCCTTTTAGGGCACTTGGTAGTAGAAGGCAGGCACTATGTAGCTCTGGTCTTGGGGTCACGGAAGCTGAGGTTCGCCTGATCCTTTAGTTCACTGGACTAATTGCTTGCATGAATCTTCCGTTTTTCTCAATAGTTGCACCTTAACTAACAATGCCTTTTAATAAGAAACTTCAGTCTATGAAATGTAATTATTGACATGTTTGGGTATTGGTCTATAATTTTGCTATTTGTTTTTATTTGTCAATCTTGTTTGGTTGTTACTCCTTTCCTGCCTTCTGTTGGGTCAGCTGAATATTTTTTAGAATTCCATTTTGATTTCTTGATGTACTGTTAATTTCTAAATTAGAAAAATAATTTCAAGAAAATCTCATCAGTTCAGTCAGCAGTTACTATCGTTTTTATTTTTTCTGGAAGGATCCTGAAAGCCCTTTCCAATGTTGGAGTGCCTGTTCCCAAAGTCCTTGATCTTTGTGAAGATTCAAGGTAATGTTCACATTTATTTTTCCATTGTATATTCAAGGTACTAGAAGGAAAATTCCATGTACTCATTCATATTTCCCAGTTTGTTAAATACAAATGAAATTTGAGTAGGATAAAAAAGGCATGTAGGTGTAACCTCCCCCATAAGGGTAAAGATCTTAAATAGATCTTTAAGTTATACTGAAGAAATGTCTGCTTTGTGAAAAATAATCAGGGAAGTTCTTTTACATTCTAAAAATATACATTTATGTTATTTTGCTTGACTGGTTTTGGTAATTTTTTGTGTGGTCTCTCTAAACTTTAAAAGACCTGCTTTGTAACATGCTTTCTGAGGGTCTCTTTTTTGCCTCAACTTTTTAAGTATGAAAATTTTGAAATATATAGAAAAGATGAAAGGAGAAATAATAGTATGAAGAACACCTATTTACTCTCATCTAGGTTAAAACATTGGTAACTTTTTTCCACATTCACTTGCTATCTATCTATAAACAAACACACACATATCACACACAAGCATACATACATATACCCACAGATAATGTATGTGTATTAATATTTTTTTGACTGAACCATTTGTAAGTTGCAGACACTATGCATCTCCTGAGAATAAAGAATATTTCCTTGCATAATCACAGCATCATTATTATAATGAACGATAATTCTGTAATATATACTATCTAGCCCCATGTCTGATTTCCTTAAATTGTATCAATAACATCTTTTATAATAGATATTTCAAGTTATGATGAGCATCTAGAATGCTAGAATTTTGAAAATAATATTTTATAGCAGGAAGCTAATTTCTAGTAAAAACTGAAGGATGAACGACATTCCTGTGGGTCACCTTAACACTTTAGGATGATATATATGTCATTTATTAAAGACAGATAAAAATAATATTAATAACCAATGAACTCTTATTAAAACCAGACACTATGGCAGGCATTCTGCAGATACTCATTTAATTCTAACAAACACCCTTTGAAGTAGGTACATTAAATAAACAAAGCTCAGAGAGATTTACTAAGTTGCTCAAGATCACACAGCCAGGAAGGAGCAGAGATAGGATTTTAACCTGGTTCTATATGACTCCAAAGTCCCTGCTTCCACCATCCATGCTGCTTTCCTGTGTCACTGCACTTAAACCCATTCTGATGACGTCTATGAAAGGACCAAAGGGAAGAGAGAGGCAACGGAGTGTAGACAGGGGTATGTGTATGGCCTGACTGCAGGAGGGGTGGTGTGCACACCCTGTACTGATGTGCAGGGAAAATGACCAGCACTCTGGAGCTGAAGCCCTCCACCAGTGCGCAAGCATGCCGGAGCTGTTACACTGAGTCCTGCCGTCACGAGTAGCCCGCCATGTTACCAGTCACACTGTGACATGCCCTGTCTGTTTCCCTCCCCCCAGTGTCCTTGGCACCCCCTTCTATTTGATGGAGTACTGCCCTGGCCTTATCTACAAAGACCCCTCTCTGCCTGGCATGGAGCCCAGCAAGAGACGGGCCATCTACACTGCCATGAACAGAGTCTTGTGCCAGATTCACAGTGTGGACCTCACAGCTGCAGGCCTGGGAGACTATGGCAGACAAGGTGAGACGAAGGCTGCTTGTTTCCTATGCTGTTCATTTCTTCATCAGTGGCACTGCTTTGAGGGTCTGCATCCCTCCAACAAACAGTGGTTTCAGACACTTTGCTACAACCCAACAGGCTTGCTGATTTCCTACCCCTTCTTATTCCAAAGCACTCCATTCCTGGAACCAATTTTTGTATCAAGACTCTTAAAGTTATACATTTCAGAAACCCAGTCTAAACTGGCTGAACTTTAAAAAGAAATATATTGGCACCTGGAACTGGTAAGTCCAGTACTGGGCTGATGGTGGACACGGTATCCAGGGGCTCAGACAATGCCAGGAGTCCGTTTCTCTCTCTCTTAGCTCTGCGTCCTTCTGGTTTGTTTTCATTCTTCTCATTTGGTGACGTTACCACTACCAGATCCAGGCTTATATCCTACCAGATTATCATCCCCAAGCCAAAGAGACAGTCCCTGGCCCAGCTTGGGTCATGGACCTGGTTCCGAACCAACCACAGGCTAGTTACTAATTTTTGCCACAGTCACTTACCTGTCTGTCTATCCTGCCCTCCCTCCCTCCTTCTCTCTCTCTGTCTCTGTATATACTTCTTGTTACTATGCAGTGCCACTGAGTTGATTCCAACTCCTAGTGACCCTGTACAGGGTTTCTGAAGAGCGGCTAATGAGTTTGAACTGCTGACTATGAGGTTCAAACTGGCTTTACAATCCAGTGCTTATCCTACACCTGGTGCCACACCAGGACTCTATATATAGATGTTGTTAAGTGCCGACGACTCTTAGCGACCCTATATAGGGCTTCCAAGGAACAGCTGGTGGGTTTGAACCACTGATCTTGAGGTTAACAGTCCAATATGCATAGTTGGGGAGCACAGTGATTGTGTACAGTAAGCACTGGACTGTGAACCACAAAGCTGGTGGTTTGAGCCCACCAGCTGCTCTGCAGGAGTAAATGAGGCTTTCTGCTTCCACATAGATTTACAGCCTCGGAAACTTTACACAGGGTTGCTATGAGTCAAAACCGACTCCACAGCATTTGACAACAGCAACCATCTGAACCAATTTCACTGAGTCTCTGTATTGAGATTTCGCCAACATCTTTGATGTTGTTTTTTCCTCCCTGATAACCAGAATCCATCAAGGAATCTGGAGCATTCTCTCTGCCTTTTCTTTTAGGAAGGGTTTTAGGAGACTGAGCCATAGTCTTAGTTGTCACAGAGGCTCCATTCACTATCTCTTGCTTCCTGTAATACCTGGGGGCTGGAAGTGTGATCCCAGGCAGGTTAAAGCTCTGGATCTCCACCTGCACATCTTCTGGCCCAGCAGCAGGGTTTTCAGAAGGCTGGTCGACCCCACAGAGAAAACCTGCATTTTTCTCCCAGATGAGGAGTATGTATGGGTGTGCTTTGAGCCAGGGGCCTGGTACAGGGTTGTATGTTAATACATACAACAGCTTCTGGGCCTGCACCGTACTTGGCATGTTATAAGTGGACTTCATTTCATCTTTATACACCCTGCAAAATATAGGCATCACCATAGCACAGTGGTTACGAGTCAGGCTGCTTACCTTAAAGTCAGCAGCTCGAAGCTAGCAGCCATTCCTCAGGGGAAAGATGAGGATTTCTGCTCCCGTAGAGATTCACAGCCTCAGAAACCGTGCGCAGGGTCGCTAGGAGTTGGAGCAGACTCCACGGGACACCTCCACCACCCTCATCATATGGATGGAGCACTGGGGGCTCAGAGATGGTATATTACTGGCAGAGCTTCATCGAAAGCCAGGTGGACTTTCCCATTCACATCCGTAGATGTAACCTGTGAATCCCTCAGCTGCACTCTCTCTTGGATTTCTTAGTAAATGGTAGAATAATAATGTTGTTATGTGCCATGGAGTTGGTTCCGACTCATAGCAACCCTGTTCAGGGTTTCTGAGGCTGTAAATCTTTACCGGAGCAGAAAGCCTCATCTTTCTCCCGTGGAACAGCTGGTAGTTTTGAATTGCTGACCTTGAGCCTCGAAAGCTTTAACTACCCTTGAGCCTCGAAAGCTTTAACTATGCTACCAGAGCTTCTTAGAATAATAATAGCAGGCACTTAATGTAGAATTTGTTGTGGGCCAGGGAGAGTTCCAAGGGCTTTACATATTTAATCCTCACAACTACTCCCTGCAGCCTATTTCATAGGTGAGGCAGCTGAGGCACAGAGAGAGGTTAAGTAGCCTGTGTGACAATACACAGCGAGGGAAAGGCAGAGCTGGGCTTCAAACACAGTCAGTTCCAGCGTCCATGCTCTTAGCCAGCTGTTTAGGTGAAAAGGAATTATTAAAAGCAGCTGTAGTTAGGTGCTGTCGAGTTGGTTCTGAGTCATAGCGATCCCATGTACGACAGACTGAAACACTGGCCAGCCCTGTGCCATCCTTACACTCATCACACTCATCACGATGTTCGAAGCAACTGTTGTAGCCACTGTGTCATTCTAGCTCAGTAAGTCCTCTTCCTTGTCCCTGACCCTTTACTTTACCAAGTATGATGTCTTTGCTTCTAAGGATCATTCTGGCTGTACCTCTTCCTAGACAGATGGGTTCATTCTCTGGCAATCCATGTTTAGGTTATTTGGTTGGTACAGTCTTTGCCAGCACCATAATTCAAATAAATCAATTCTTTGTTCTTTCTTATTCATTGCCCAGCTTTTGCATGCATATGAGGCCATTGAAAATACCATGGCTTGGCTCAAGTGCATTTTAGTCCTCAAGGTGACATTCTTGCTTGTTAGCACTTTAAAGAAGTCTTTTAGGGCTGACATCCCAATGTGGTATGTTCTTGTTTGATTTCTTGATTGCTGCTTCCATGGGCATTGATTACAGATCCAAGTGAAATGAAATCCTTGACAATGTCGATCATTTTTCCATTTATTATGATGTTGCTTACTGGTTCTAAAGCTATTAGCAAGTTCAAAGGCTCTCTGGGCAGGCCACAGATCTGGCTTGCAGACTGTGCAGCTGAGAGCAATGTCAGGTCACACTATTCCAGCTAAGACAGCACAGCTGGTGGCTTCCACCTGGGGCCGGCAGGAGGCGGATATGGACACGTCTCCAGTCCCTCTTGTAGAAGACGTTGCATCACCACAGAGCATTACAAATGGTTTTTCTGCATGGATAAATTTTCAAACCCCCCAGATTTTCTCAAATAGCTTTTACAAGTTTTTGTTGTTGCTGTTCCCAATCCAGAATCCACTGAAGCAATCGGGGACATTCTCTGTACCTTTTCTTTTAATGAGGTTTTTAGAAGGACCAATTCAGTTGTGTCTCAGTGTTTTCCTGGCATTTCTGTCGTCTTGTTTACAGGGGACTACATTCAGCGCCAGGTGCAGACCTGGAGCAAGCAGTACCGTGCCTCAGAGACCAGCAGCATCCCAGCCATGGAGAGGCTCATTGAGTGGCTGCCATGCCATCTTCCCAAGCAGCAGAGGGCCACTGTGGTACACGGGGACTTCAGGTAGCCTGAGCGTTCACATGGGAAAAGGCTGCATTTCTCAACCGCAGATAGCTCTTTGCTGTGGGGGTCTGAAGTTTGAAGTTTGAGCAGCATCTGTGGTCTTCACCCACTAGATGCCAGTAGCAGTCCCTCTTGTCCCAAGTCCTCCACTGTGACAACCCAAAATGTCTCCAGGTGTTGTCAACTTTCCCCTGGGGGTAGAAGCACTGCAGTGGAGAGGGTTACAGTAAAGCAGGTATGGTGGGCAGCGGGCACTCTCATTTGGTGGGGAGTGAAGTGATGAAAGGAGTTGACGTGGTTTTCTCAGGGGCATGGTGCATGGCTCAGAATAGTGCCCGGGGGTGCCTGGCACCCACCTGGACGGGTCTGACTTCTTCGTCTCTGTCTGTGGAAAGTGCCCAGTAGGTTCTCAGGTACTTTTCACACTGTGTTCTGTTTCATTGCTGCACCTGGTTTTGATACAAGCACAGCTTCCTATTTGGGACTCCGACCCATTTTGTTTTCTTGCCTATCCTCGGGACTGATGCCTTTTATTCCACTAGCAGGACAGGGAAGCTACATTGAAAAGACACTCCCTTGCTTTCCAAGTTAGGTCACCTTTCTTCTGTGATTGCCCTCAGTCACTCACTGCCAGTTCCTTCCTTTAGCCTCTCTTGGTGACACCTCTGAATGACCAGTGGGACTTTATCCCAAAGCTGAGCTTGTCTGTTCCTATGCTGCAACCTGCCTTGAACCGAGCATGCAGACTGCGACAGTTGAGTCCCCTCCCCTCTTCTGTCTTGTCCAGCAGTGCTCTCTGCCAGTCATTCCAACCCATGTCATTCAGCAGGAAGCCTAGCAGGTGGCCTTTCTGTCACCAGTCCATAACAGCTCTTCTCTGGACCTTGTCCTTGCCTCTGCTCCTCATGCATCCATGACTCTCACTACACGCACAGCAGGCAGGAGAGCGCCCACTCCCCTGCACTGTAATGAAGCCACACTTACAATGATATTCTCTGGTCTTAGGAGCGCGGCCGCTTTTTTATTTACACTTACAGTCAAAAGACATTTCGAGCCGCAGATGGATGGGAAAACATGGCTTAGCCCATAGAGTGGTCAGTACAGGTAGAGTGTCGGGCTTTACTGTCTCTGGTTGTGGAAACTGCCCTGTAGGTACTCCATTCTCCAGAGGACTCTATTCCCCACCTGATCAGACCTGGATGAAGCAGTATCAAGCTACATGTACTTTGAAACACAGTCATCTCAAAAAGATAAGGCCAAATGAATTAAAGGCAAAAGGATACATACAGTTTAATACTGTTTATGGGACTCTTGGTGTGGTACTCTAGGCTAGGTTGCAAACCACAAAGTCAGTGGTTCAAATCTACCAGTTGCTTCTTGGAAACCCTGTACTGGGTCGCCATGATTTGGAATCAACTCAGTGCCACTTAACAACAACAATAAATACAGTTTATATAAACATTACAATAATCAAAAGAACACTCTAAGGGTTTATAGATGTGTGCATAGGCAGGAACATGGATTCAGATGTTTAGGAATGATGCATTCCAACTTCAGGATAGCAGTTACGTGGGGGGATAAAGGGAGAGGAAAGGATTGGAGGCCACTAGCTAAAGCTGTCTCACTTAAAAATTGGAAGCAAATTTGACCTCTGGTAAATCTGGAAGATGGGTCTTCTCTCTGAAATCTTTTGCATGCTAAAAATAATTTTTTTGAGAACAAACAACATGGCGGATCGGGTGGAAGTGCAGTAAAGGA